AACGAGTTATGCATCTCTAAAATTAAGTGATTATCTTCGTGAAGTGGTAATAGGTGTGTGTGTATGTGTGTGTATGTGTGTGTGTGTGTGTGTGTGAGTGTGTGCGTGTACTAGCAGGTGTAGTGCAGTGGCAAGGAGTGTTGCTGTTTTACAGAAACTCGAAGGTTCAACTCCACCAATGGGATATTCATTCCGTCTACGATTCGTTTCGATGGCAAATTGACAATTGTGTATGCCGGCGAGTTGAAACCAGCATCAGCTTGCTTCTAGGCAATTTTCGGAAGTGGGAGCTTCCAAAGATTTTGAAGTTGGGGCCGCAAGCGCTTAAAAACACCTGATTTTGCTCGTACATGAGTAGGGAACATTCCCATAAAGTTTCAGCTTTTCCCTTTCCCGGGTTACTAATTTCCGCGCTAAAATTTCCACGTGCCCGTCCTTGAGTCCCGGATGCTTCTAAAGAAGGCATATGCTGCCACACCGGGCTGCTTTCGAGTGCCTTCCCTTTCCACAGAAAGTGATATTTGAGGTGGTTTTGACTTTAATTTTGTTGAAATGAGTTTTGAATTAAAGAGATAACTGCATTATGACAGCCGGTAAGAGGATGTATCGAACGATATCAGTTAGCAAATACACGAAATTGCAAGTGCAAAGTAAATAATCACGTGGTACTTGTCCGGGTTTCCGCTGTGGTTGGTATGCTGTTGAAGTCTTAATTTCACGGCCTGCGAAGGGAGACTGAGTTACTTCTAATGGGATGGATTACTTCTATTTGTCTCACAGAATTAATTGGGTGTTTTCCACTTCTTTTTGTATACAGTTATTTTTTGGCTTTCTGCGTCTTCAGCGTTTAAGCCGATTGCATTTTGGTAATAAATATCTTCGGGTAAAAATTCTTGAGGGAACTGTAGAATTTAAATACGATATCTTTTTTCTAGATTGTATACCTTTTTTTTTTTTTCAAATGAGATATTTTTTTTCCTAGGCCCAACGAGTTGAAATGGAACTACAGAATTCTTTGAAAAACTGAGAATACTGGACAAAAATGCATGAGCCTATTTTGATAACATTTAACAGTTCTAGATAACTAGTCTGTTATCAGTAGATAGTCTCCCGCAGTCTATTGTCTACAGCAGTTTAGGCAGGTGTGTACAAGGTTTCACAAACCAGCATATTTATATATTAGAAT